TTGTTGTTGTTGCAGTTGTCATTGTTGTTTAGCTGGCCCAGGCTGGGTTTGAACCCGTCAGCCTCTGTGCATGTGGCTGGCACCATAACCACTGAGCTACAGACGCTGCCCCTACCTAATCTTTCTTTTCATAAAAAAAAATTTTATAGGGCACCCCACTGAGCCAGAATAGGTTTGGAGAGATTCCTACTGCATGCTTTCTCTAGCAGTTGGCGTACCTGACCAAACTTTATTTTGTGAAACATTCACTTTCACATGATTATTCTCTAAAGCATTTTCTCCTTCTTATCATACCATTCCTTTCTAGTCTCCTTAACAGAATTTCCCACCTTTCCACAAACAAGCAAACAAAACCCCCAAAATGGTAGCGTCTTTCTGGCTTGTGCTTTGGTTTCTGGTACATTTCTCTTCTCCTTGAACATCCTCATTCACAGCCTTCTGCCATACCTAGATTCCAATGACTCCCGTGTCTGTATCTCTAGATCCATATTTCTAACTGACCACTAAATATCTTTGCCTGGATGCCATGCAGACATCTCAAACTTAGAATGCCCAAAGCTTATCTTGTACTCCACTTCTTCCTCCTCCTTCATTCCCTATCTCTGGGAGTGGTACCATTCTCTCTCCACCCAGGAACTCAAGCCAGAAGCCTGGGTGTTTTCAACTCCTCCCTCTCCATGACCAATGGGTTATTAAATTCTCTTCATGCTACTTTAGAAATGTTTCTGTAGTTCACCCTCTCTTCTTCAGGTCCCTAACCACAGCCTTCGTATAAGTTCCCACCTATTGTTATCAGCAGTAACTTATCAGTTCTCCCATAACACCAAGTTGTCCCATCTCCAATTCTTTCCGTAGAATAGAGAACATAAGACTGAGTTTAAATGGTGGTTTTGAGAACTGACATAGGATTGCCTTTTAAAAAATTTGTCAAGGTACAAATTCTCTACTCTATCATTTCCATAATAATAATGTGAAAAGAATTTTTTTTTTTTTTTGAGACAGAGTCTCACTTTGTCACCATTTGGTAGAGTGCTGTGGCGTCATAACTCACGGCAAATTCAAACTCTTAGGCTCAAGCAATCATCTTGCCTCAGCCTCCTGAGTAGCAGGGATTATAGGCATGATCCACTGCCTGGCTATTGTTTAGAGATGAGGTCTTACTCTGGCTCAGGCTAGTCTTGAACCTGTGATCTCAGGCAATCCACCTACTTAGGCCTCCCAGATTGCGAGGATTCCAGGTGTGAACACTGTGCCCAGCTTTAAAAAGAATTTTTAACTTCAAAAAATACAAAGTACCAAACTCTCAAAATGAAATATAGTTTTTAACATATATTGGGCTTTTAAAATGAAGGACTGTTTCCAGAATGGGAACCACTGATCTAGAATCTACACTGCCTTCAGAGTGATCTTTCAGAAAGCAAAATGATTATGCATGTTATTCCCTAACTTTAAATTCTCTATATTACATATATTATTTAATTTGTTCCCATAATCTATATGTACAAGGTTAAGTAAACTCATCCTAGAAAAAAGTGCTACATACCTCATTGCTGTATTAACACGGTCACTTTTGAAGTAATCCTGTTGGAAAGCTATGCACTGATGCCAGTGCCTTGTCCACCCTCCAGAGCACTTTTTCTAGGATGAGTTTGTGAACTTAACTGTCAGACAGCATATAACAATAGCTCTGATGGCCATTCCAGAAAAAAGTTCCAAAATTCATCCAGTTTCACCAGCACAAACCTAAGTGGTTTCTTTGACATTTTCTTCTCTGTCAACCCTTTTATAGAATTCACTACCAAGTCTTGCCTATTTAATCTCCCAAATATCTCTTAACACCTGTTCAATTCTCATCATATCCACCATCACTCTGGTTCAAGTCACTATCATCTCTTGCCTACATTACTGCAATAGCCTCTGGTCTCCCTGCTTTCATTTTGGCCACCTTCAAATCCACTCTGCACACTGCAGCAACAGTGACCTTTCTGCAAATCTCACAAGATTAACTGTCTCCTCACCATTAAAAAATCTATTTTTTTTTTTTTTTTGAGACAGAGTCAGTCTTGCTCTATTGCCCTGGGTTGAGTGCCATGGGGTCATCATAGCTCAGAGCAACCTTCAAACTCTTGGGCTCAGGGATCCTCTTCCCTCAGCCTCCCGAGTAGCTAGGACTAGAGGCACCCACCACAATATCCGGCCAGTTTTCTACTTTTTGTGGAGACAGGGTCTCGCTCTTGCTCAGGCTGGTACCAAACTCCTGAGTTCAAGCAATCCACTCACCTTGGCCTCACAGAGTGCTTAGGATTACAGGTGTGAGCCGCTGTGCCCGGCTCATTATAAAACTTTTTAAGGGACTTCTACTCTTGGGACAAAGGTCAAAGGCCTTTGCATGATCTGAAAGCCCTGTAAGCTCTTCTTCTACCCTTTTCATTCCTCCAAGGCATAAACTTATGTTCCCAGTTTCCCCTGAGCATACTCACTCGCCCCTCCATCTCTTTGTATGATAGCCATTCTAGTCAGTTTTTAGTTCCTTAAATGTGTCAGACACCCTCCCTCTTGTTCTACAGATGAGAAAACCAAGGTTCAAAAAAGTTATGAGCTGTCTAGAGACAGACTGTTTAGTTACAGCTAAATAGTAGAATCTATGTCTTCTCTTTTAGATACAATGCATCTCCCCCTTCTTTTCCTTTACCAAGAATCTTCTGCCTAAACCAGTGGTACTCAACCTTCCTAATGCCATGGCTTTTTAATACAGATCCTGTGGGTCGTGACCCACAGGTTGAGAACCACTGCCCTAAACCTTTCCTCTCTCTTTTGCCTATTTATCCTTCATATCTCAGACTGAAGGATACTACTTCATCAAGGCAAATTCATGCTCTCATAGCACTAGTCATAAATTTACTTTGATTAATGACATTGATTGATTGATGCTTACTTTTGTTAACTGGTTCTATGATGACAGGGACCATATCTGGTTTTGCCAGATCCCAGGAACATATTAGGACTGAATGAATGGATAGATGAATGAATGATTGAAGGAACAATAACTATGAAATGCTCCAAGGTCAGAAAAAACTTTGAAAGCTGGAGCCAGAAAGAGTGTGCATGCACCTGTGGCTGAGTGGGTAGGGTGCTGGCCCCACGTACCAAGGGTGGAGGTTCAAACTTGGCCTTAGCCAAACTGTAGCAAAAAATAGCTGGGCGGTCTAGGGGGCTCCTGTAGTCCCAGTACTCAGGGAAGCTGAGGCAAGAGAATCACCTGGGCCCAGAAATTGCAGGTTGCTATGACACCACAGCACTCTGCAGAGGGTGATACAGTGAGAGTCTCTTAAAAAAAAAGAAAAGTGTGCAGAGACTACAGAAGTATATAGAGGCTGGGTGATGTTGGGTATTTTAAAGGATTTTGGATAAACAGAAGCTACTACTCCTATTTTCTGGCACTGTGTTTGGTGCAGGAACTTTTATATTGCTAGTTATTAATCAGATGAAGCTGTTTATTTATTTATTTTCAAATAGTCACAAAACCAATACAGAGAGAGCAATTTAAATATCCACAGAGATAGGCTCGGTGCCTGTAGCTCAAGCGCCAGCCACATACACCAGAGCTGGCGGGTTCGAATCCAGCCTGGGCGCCTGCCAAACAAGGACAACGACAACCAAAAAAATAGCCAGGTGTTGTGGCGGGCGCCTGTAGTCCCAGCTACTTGGAGACTGAGGCAAGAGAATCGCTTGAGCCCAGGAGTTGGAGGTTGCTGTGAGCTGTGATGCCATAGCACTCTACCCAGGGCGACAGCTTGAGGCTCTGTCTAAAAATAAAAATCCACAGAGATAGATTTAGAGGGAGAAATGAAGACATGTAAGGAAGGGATACTGCCTGAGGTGGTTTTTGTTTTTGAGATTTTAAGTTTTTAAGAGAGATCAATGTACATTTTTGCAGTTGTGGTCAGGGCCTGTGAAAAACCACTGGCAAGGATGCCCCTAAATACATTCTGATACCCAGGAAGCTTGGTGCCTAGTTTAAAGCTATAAAAACACCTAAACTCTCCAAATGAACAAAGAGCCACATTCAAGAGAGCGTGAGGCGTTGGCGCAGGCGGCCAATCACCATCGGCCGGGGCCGCAGACCAAATCCCTAACCGCAGCTGCAACGGGAGGGTCTCGCATCAAAGATTAGAGGTACAGAAATGGGCGAGATTCAGTGCCATTCGGGTGAAACGTCAGCTCCAAAAGCGAGGTGGCCAGAAACGGTAGAGAACTTGGGGTGCCATCTTTTGCATCAACGGGAGAGGCCGTGTGTCCCCACCCGTAATTCTCGTCACCCCCCGGAGAGCAAGGGGACTGTGAGGGGTTCAGGGTAATACGAGAAAATAACGAGGCGCTTCAGCTTCCCAAGTTACCTCAGGGGACGGGAACTGTGACTATCAACGTAGTCCTTTGGAGGCGTTAAAAACAGGAATGTGTAAAAATGGACATATTTCTCCCGGCCTCCTGTGCGGTTTATAAAACGTTTCCGTCCCAGGAGCGACCACCCCTTACTCTGGCTGGCTTGTCCCCTCTCCACAGGGCAGGCACAGGCATCTCCAGCTTAATCCGGCGCTCAAGATGGCCTTTACGCTGACCCTGCGCAGGCCGATTTGCACCAGGAGCGCCGAAACGCGGGGCTCGGCCGGACTCGGGTGCCGTCCCAGCCTTCCGTAGCCGGGGGCGCCCGGGCCGACTCCCAGGCGGAGGTGCCGGAACGCCCGGCTGACGCTGGCTCGGCCCGCTCGGCGGAGTCCTCCGCCGTCCCAGCATTCCCCGCGCCTCGCCCCCGAGAGCGGCTTCCGGCGGCGCGGGCGGAGGTGGGGGAAGAAGGAGCGCGCCCTGCCGCTCTGTCTCAGTCCCTCGCGCGCTCTCGGGCAACATGGCGGGCGTGGAGGAGGCAGCGGCCTCCGGGAGCCACCTGAATGGCGACTTGGATCCAGACGACAGGGAGGAGGAAGCTGCCTCTACGGCCGAAGAAGCAGCCAAGAAAAAAAGACGGAAGAAGAAGAAGAGTAAAGGGGCTGCTGCAGGTAAAAGGAGTTTTGTGTTTTCCCAGTCCCCACCAGGATGGGCGAATGGCTTGGCTCAGGCCCGGCCGGGATGGCTGGGAGCGGGGACCCGGCGGCCCGGACTCGACCGATTTCCAGGCTCGGGAGGGCTGGGTTGCAGATTCCGAACCCCGGGAAGAGGCGGTATCTCCGCCTGTGGAACTGGACGGCTGGTTGGGGAGAAAACATTGCCTCAGCTTCGCGTGTGGTTATTTCTGGGGTCGCTGGGCCCAACTCCTTAAGTTTCCAGAACTCGGTTTCCACCCAGACTATGGCATGGTCTTGAAACCGCACGGAGCACAGCCTCACTATTTTCCGCGTGGTTTGGCCGCCTCGAAAATCCACTTGTGACCCGTATTGCTGCCTCTTTGCTGGAGCAAGCTGGGACGTATTTTCATTGAGGGCAGGAGTAGTGTGGGCGAAGGTAATGCCAGATCAAATATACCCCCACCATCCTGTTTTTACTAGGGGTGTGAATGTGTGTGTATGCTTGTGCACTCATGTCATAGAGTAATTCCAGGATTGGTGGTGGTGGTGCGAATTTTCCCTTGCCTAATCTCACCGTAGAGTCCAGCTATAGCCTTATAGGCCTGTATTAGGATGCCACTGACAGGCACTGCAGGTAGGATATTCTGTTGCTCAGAATGGAACTTCTCGGGGCTGTTGTCTAAATCCACTGGTAACACAACGACAACAGTTGCAAGTTTACTGAAATTATGATTAGATGGGAATGGAGAAGGGAGCGTTGTAGCACTGTTGGGACTCTTCTGTAGCAAAATTTAGCCCCAACACATAGTCTGGTGGATGTCCTCAGGTGAAATCTAAACTCTGCAGTTTGTTTTGTAAGGTGTTCGGCTCACTGGCCCTAATACATTTTTAACAGTTGTATTTCATAGTATGAATTCTCTTCAGTAAGCCAGAATGTTACTTCATTATGCACAACCTGACAAAACTTTTTCTTTCTACCTGTAACATATTGAACATATTGCTCCTACAGCTAGACTGTAATCGCTTACAGATGAAGGGCCTGGTCTTGTGCTTAGACGTTCAGGAATTTTGTTTTTTAGTAATGGACTATCTTTTCCTATTTGTTTTGGTTTTACTTAGCCTATTATGATAGTGTCTTTCTTTATGGAGCTCAGAAGTTCCTTGGTGTTGCACATGAATCCTCTTCTTTGTAAGGTCTAACACATTTATCATCTATCTTAAGTATCTTTCTGGTAATTAAAATATTTGTAGTCTAACTGCTGACTACTTTTTTTTTTTTGAGACAGAGCCTCAAGCTATCCCCTTGGGTAGAGTGTTGTGGCATCACAGCTCACAGCAATCTCCAACTCCTGGGCTCAAGGGAGTCTCCTGCCTCAGCCTCCCAAGTAGCTGGGACTACAGGCGCCTGC